CGGGGAGGGGCGGGGCCAGGGGAGGGAGGGGCGGGGCCAGGGGAGGGAGGGGCGGGGCCAGGGGAGGGAGGGGCGGGGCCAGGGGAGGGAGGGGCGGGGCCAGGGGAGGGAGGGGAGGGCTGCAGTCACCGTCCCAAAGAGACTGACCGCTGGGGCTTGGGGACTGGAGCTAGGAGCCTGGTGCAGGTGGGTGCAAAGGCGGGCACTTGAGGCAACGCTGCCATCGCCCTGGGACGGGGTTTGGACGATGGCGCCCGGAGGGACTTAATCAACTGTCACGTCCAAGGCCAAGCGGCCAAGGTGGGTTTGACGCGGTGATATCAAGGCCGAAGAAGCCCCAATCAAGGGTTAGAAAACTCGAACTGTTTTTAAAAATAAAATCAATAAAACAAAACAAAACAAAAAAAACCCTAACTGTGGCCTCGGGGGTGGAGCCAGAGTGGGACCTGATGTGATGGGCGTGGCTAGGAGTTGCGCGACGTCACCACCCGGTTGACCTGCTGGAGCCAAGGTCCTGGGAATTTGGGCAGGCTGGGTCGCCAGGGGTCAGGTCACTCCCTGGCCGCAGGGCAAGCAACTAGAAAGTGAGCGGAAAGGCGGGCCTCACCTGTGCCACATGAATGAACTTGTCCAGCACCTGCGCACGCTGAGCAGCTCCAGGGCGGCTCAGCACCATGACCTGCACCCAGCGGGACACGCTGTTGCTGAGGCCCACGGAACCCTCCAGGGCTGGGCAGCCCCTCACGGAGCCCTGCAAAACGTAGCCCCGCAGGTCCTGGGGCTGGGGGCGAGGTGGGTGTTACGGGGGGGGGGGGCGGAGGGCGGCAGTGCCCTGACTTGCCATCCCCCTTGCAGCTGTAACTTCCGATGTCCTAGCATGGTTAGCCTTTATAAACTTTGTCATTTGCCTCTCCACAGGCTGCCATATGTCCCCTCAATCTGAAGAGAAATGTTTAAATAAAGCCAGGTACTACTCTGAACACTTTATCATATTAAATAATTTAATCTTCATGACTCTACAAGGTGGGTATTGTTATTCCCATTTTAAAGATGAGGCAGTTGAGGCAAAAACACAGGCATGAGCTAGGACAGGAAACGAGTCTATATGCTGAAAACATTATTATTATTATTATTATTATTGGCCCTGCTGGGGATGAACCCAGGGCCTTGTAATAATCGGTCAGTCTCTGCTGCTGAGATACAGCCCAGTCCAGTCTATATGCTGTTAACTGTTTAACTGACTGGTACACAGCAAAGGGAAGGATGGGGAAGAGGACTCAAAACCGACTTCTACTTGTTCTGCTCAATAGTTTCTTACCCACATCCACTGCACTATCTGCATGTTATATTGATATACACACACAAAAAAATCAGAAAAATTTCACATTAGGGAACCAGATTCTCTCCTTCSCTTGAAACAATCATGCGTCCAGATGGCAATAGTTAACATATCTACACTAAAGCACAGGAAAATGGACATTTGGGCCAGGTGTGGTGGCGCACACCTGTAATCCTAGCAATTGGAAGGCTAAGGCAGGAGGATGGCAAATTTGGGGTCAACTTCAGCAACTTAGCAAGACCCTCAGCAACTGGTGAAGTACCCCTGAGTTCCATCCCAGTACCCCCCCCCCAAAAAAATTAAAAACTAACATTTGGGTAGGTAAAATAAGGCAATTTCAAATGGGTTCACCAGGTATAATTTACTCTAGACTGGGTGCTATATCCTATAAGATGGGAATTGCTAACATTCCCTTTTACACATGAGGAAACTGAGGCACCACGAATTGAAATGCTTGTTGATTAAATGAATAATTAACACAATATTTTGAACACTTACTATGTGCCAGGTACTGGTTAGGCTTTTCTTCTTTGAACCCAGGGTGCTTAGCCACTGAGCCACCTCCCCAGCCTTTTTTATTGTTTATTTTGAAACAGGGTCTTTCTAAGTTGCTTAGAGGCTGGCTTTGAACTTGTGATCTTCCTGCCCCAGCCTCCCAAGATGCTTGATGCTTGGATTGCAGGTGTGCACCACCAAGCCTGGCAGGCTTGTTYTTTGTTTTTGGTACTGCAGGAACAGTCTACCACTGAACTACATTGCCATCTCTTTTTTATTTTTATTTTTTGGAACAGGGTCTCACTAAATTCCCAGTCTGGCCTCAAAATTGTGATCCTCCTGCCTCAGCCTCCCAARTCACTGGGATTATAGGCGTGCACCAATGGACCCAGCCACAATAGGCATTTTGTAATTGGGATTTTAAATTTTCCCACCTCTAAGGAAGGATTGTGACCTCTGTTTTACAAAGGAGGATTCCCAGAGAGGCTGAGACACTAGTTCTGTGTTACACAGGTGAGAAAGAGGTGATGGCATCTGAACCGAGGGTCCTGTGCTCAGCCACCTGGCTCATTTTCCTGGACCCTCTGGCTCCCAGCTTTGAAGTTTAAGAACCCCAGCTGGGTGCCTTGCAGGGATCCTCCCACTACCCCAATCTTCCCTCTGTCCCAGAAGGGCACTGAAGGCCCAGGGAGTCCTCACCGTGATGGCCTGGAAGGACCGGAACTCCAGGTACGTGAGGTGCTGGGCCAACTCCTCCGACTCCAGGTGATCGAAAAGCAAGGACACTTTGCATTTTTTGCCCAGGCCTGGGCTGCTCGTGAGAGGTGGGGGCCCAGGGCCACCAGGGCTCAGGCTGGGGGCCAAGAGGGGCAGGGTATTGGAGTGGCTCAGAGTTGAGGGTCTGGGGATGCCAAGGGAGATGGCAGGAGGGGGGTGGGGCAGGCAAGGGGACATCGGGCTGGCTCACAAGTGGGAAGCATCTCCCAGGCTCCTCTGGGCTGAGTTGCCCTCCTGGGCCACCGCGGCCCAGAAACGACCTATGACCTCTTCTAGCTGGGGCTCCTGGCGCATGGCCTCTGGGTGTTGGGCCATCCAGTACCTGAGAACAGGTTAGGGTGGGGCATGGGGCGGGGCTGAGGGACCTCCAGATGCCAAGTGGGGAGGTCTACATGTGTGCAGGGGGTCTTGGGAAGGGCAGGTTTTGGAGGGGCACCAGGACAGGGGGATCTCTGGGATAGGATGGGGGGTCTCAACACGGGTTGGGGAGATTTATGGAGGTAGATGGGGGGATCTCTTGGAAGTGGAACTGCACAGAAACAGGACAGTGGGGGTGTCTCAGGATCTAGCCTGGGGCTTCTAGTGGGGAGATAATGTCAGGAGGTCCTGGGGTCTCAGCTGGGGCATATAGGAAGTAGGGTTTGGGGGATCACTGGAGGCCTATCAGAGCTGGGAGAAGGGTCTGTGGAATCTGGTTGGGGGGTCTCCAAAAGGTTGGGGTTCTCAGGGGCAGAACTGGGAGGGTCKTAGGAACCCAGCCAGGGTGTCTCCGAATGGGGTTCTAGGGAGTGGAGCTGGGAGCCGCTGAGATATTGGGGGAAGGGCAGGATATGGGAGAAGAGGGCTGACCCAGCTTTACCTGACCAAGTGACAGATCTGCAACTGCCTCAGCTCCCRGGTGTCCTCTGCAGCCTCCTGGTACTTGAGTTCCGGTCAAGGTTCCATGATCCAGTGTCCAGACCTGCCCGCTCCCCCGTCCCCTCCTCCCAGGCTTCTGTGTTTCTGCCCTTCTGCCCTCTGCCACCGTCACRGTCACGGAGGATATAAAGCCAGCAGCCGGGCAGCAAGTTCAGCAGAAGGCAGCACCCAGCTGTGCATGGCCAGCACCATGTTGAGAACGTGGTCCCCACGGCGMAGGCTGCCACTGGAGTCTGGAAGGGGGCAAGGGGGACTCTGTCTGAATGGCCCCTGGGCGTGGACTGACAGTCTCCAGAGCTTGGTGGACCACCGTCAGGTTCAAGTGATGCCGGCATCAACTTGGGCAAGCACCTCAACCTCTCTGTGCCTTAGTTTTTTTGTCCACACCAGGCATGGGCCAGCAATGTCACAGAGATGGAAACGGCACCAGTCCTGCTCCCATCCTCGTCCCAGGAAAAAGCAACGCAGGTGTTTCTCCAACCCTTCATGGAGCGATTGGGATTCATCCCACACACCCATTTTATAGTCCCAAACACTGAGGCTGAGAGAGGCGGGTGCTCGGCAGGGCTGGGACTGGGGAGGCTGGCCAGGGAGGGGCACTCACCGAAGGACTGGATGCATTTCTCCAGCAGCTCATCTTCGCTGTAGCTGCCCTCGCCCAGCATGCCCAGATTCATGGAGGCCATGACCTTGCTGATCTCCCGGGGACTGGGGCAGGTCTTGTGGCGGCGAGGGGCCTGGCGGGGCCGGCCCCGGCCTCCTGCCTTCCCCGAGCATTCCTGGTGGGATTTCCTGTGGATGCACATCCCCTCACCCCCAGGAAGCATGAGAGCCCCCTCTTTTGGGCAGATCCTCAGATTCCTCTTGACCCCCATGCCCCAAGGTACCATAGGAGAAATTCCTACGGGAATACAGGTAAAGTCCCCGGATTACCGCTGACCTACCATCGACTCCTGGGAGAAGCCCCCAGGAATATTCCAGATTCCCCAAGGAATCCTAAAAACTCCCTCCTCCAGGCATCCCCCCAAATTCCTCTGGACAGAACTGTCTCAAGTCATCATGGAAGAGATTTCCTGTTGGCAGACCTGAGGGATTTGTCCTGACCTCTCAGGAAACCAAGACAGAAGACCYCTTAGGATCACTGCTGTCCTCCCTGGGAGGACACACGAGAGGGTCAGCCTCAGGACAACTCTTCAGAATGTCCTTTTGGCCTCCAGCGCCTCCTCCCTCAGGCAGGCCCCTGGGATTCCATCTCTTCTCTCCTCCCCACTCTCCCTCAGGAAGGGCCCTTCACGGGCTCTAGAGTCTTAGCCTCCAGCTGGGTGCCTAGATCTGGAACCCAGAGAGGAAGTACCAGTACAAAGTGACCTCTCCAGAGCTCCCCAGAGCTAGGCGGGGTCCCTGGAGCTAAGGCAGCTTCAAGGAAAGTTTAAAAATAACTTTGCCTTCTGCTCCTCTGAGGCTCCTGGTCCAGGTGGGGAGAGAGGGTAACGGAGAGACAGAGGCGGCAGGAGAAAGGAGGAGGGAGCAAAACTTAGACTCTAGAGTCGGAGAGACCTGGGTTCGAGAAATTTCTGCTGGCCGTGTGACGTTTGGTGAGTCACTTCATTTCTCTGATCCTTAGTTTCCTCATATGTAAATTGAGTGTCCTCTTTGGACCGTCCCCAGGAATTTATTATCAACATTCCCTACCTGGCTCCTCAGAGGTGCTAAGTAATGAAACTCAGTTTCCACCCAGGCTGGACAGTGACCCAGATGTGGGAAAGCCGAGGTTAAGATGCAGAGAGAAAGAGGGATGGGGCCGAGGAGGAGCCTGTGGCTGGGGTGAAACTGGAAACAGGAGTCCCACATGGCAAAGGTGACAGTGCATCCTAAGGACTCAATAAGTTGTCACTGACTGTTGATGAATAATAGGGGCATTACTGAGTACTGATTAGCTAGCGGGTCAAGGGCTGATCACTCCAATTTTTTTTTGGGGGGGGCACCAGGGATTGAACCCAGGGTCCCCTAACCACTGATCAACATCCTCAGCCCTTTTAAAAATATTTTACTTAGAGACAGGGTCTCACTGAGTTGCTTAGGGCCTCACTAAGTTGCTGAGGCTGACTTTGAACTCATGATCCTCCTGCCTCAGCCTCCAGAGCCTTATTACAGGCATGGTCCACCATGCCCGGCAGGTCACTCCTTCTAGATCCGTGATTCTCAAAGTATGGTCCCCAATCAGCACTAACAGAATCACCTGGGAACTTGATGTAAACACAAATTCTTAGGCCCCACCCCACACAAATCAAAAACTCTAGGGGTAAGTCCAGCAACTTGCATTTTTTCTTTAATATTTATTTTTTAGCTTTAGATGGACACAATATCTTTATTTTATTTTTATGTGGTGTTGAGGATCGAACCCAGCTCCCCGCGCATGCCAGGCGAGCGCGCTACTACTTGAGCCACATCCCCAGCCCCAGCAACCTGCCTTTTATAAGCCCTCTGGGTGGTTTTGAYACATGGTCAAGTTTGAGAACCAGTGGTTTGGACTGTCTCACTGAAGACTTAGAGGCCCCTCTGAGATACAGTCTATAGTTATTCTATTGATGGAAGAAAGTGAGACCCAGAGAAGCTAAGTAACTTACCTAAGGTCACACAGCCAGCAATGAGGCAGTTAGGATCCCACCACTAAACTACTGAATGGTATGGGGAGGGAAGTCCAGTTGCTCATCAGAATCATGTTGGGGGAGGTTGGAGGGGTCACCTAGACTGGGGACCCAATCACCATCCATCTCTGTGTGGATCTCTGTGTGGACAGGAGGGCAAGCTTGCCCRGAGTTAGCGGGCAGTGGCAGCCACTTGGTCCCTACCTGAGGACTGGCAGCCCCCTTGGAGTCTGGAGCAGCCAGGTGAGGTTTAAGAGGCAGGGGAACAGGCTGATCTTGCATCACACACCCCTCTCCTAGGGCAGAGCCCTGAAGGAGGAGGCTGGAGTTTCCAGTCAGGGGACAGCGATTGGATGGGGAGCCAGGAAGACCCCAGGGAGGACAGCAGGCGAGAGAGCAGGACGGGGAGGGCAGGGAGGGGAGAAGCAAAGTCCAGAAGCGTCAGCCGCAGGCACCTCTGCGCACCCAGCCTTGGCCCTGGCTGGCCCTGGGCTCCCTGGAGCATCTGTCCCTGGCACCCCTGATCCTACAGGAGGCAGGCGTCCTGGCCCCTCTGGGCGGCTCCCCAACCTTCCCGCACAGGCTTGGCTCCTGGGGAGGCCCCCTTACCTCTTGCTGTCTTTCCTATTCATACTTCCTTGGGGGGTGGTCCTCGAGGGACAGCTCCTCCCCCCCACCAAGACTCCAGCTCTCAGCCCCTCGGGAGCTGGGCCTCCTCCGAGCTTGGGAAGGAAAGAGGAACTGCCCCTCCCCACCCACCCCCAGGCCAGGGGGAAGGAAGAGGCTGGGGAGAGACCAAAGGCTCCCCTCCCCCACGTGGGGATCCCTGCAGGCTGAGGTTTCCGGTGCTGCTGGCCCCCACCCCCCAGCCCAGCCGGCTCTCTAGCTATCTCCCCATCTTTGGGTCTTGAGACCTGTCACTGTCACACTTCAATAGAAGCAGTTTTTAAAAAGCATGACTAATCTGTGTAAAAATACATACACACTCAAAAGAGAAGTCTGTATTTCTATAAAGATATATCCAGGGACCTAAAGCACAAGGATTTGAATAGAAACTCATATACTTTGCATAACTATTTTACGGTTTCTTTCATTCCTAGTTTATTATTATTATTATTTTCCTGGAGAGGAGGTGAACTGAGGATTGAACCCAGGGTGCTCCACCACTGAGCTACATCCTCACCTCTTTTTATTTTTTAGTTTGAGACTGGGTCTCACTGAGTTGCTGAGGATGCCCTTGAACTTGTGATCCTCCTGCCTCCACCACTGAGTGGCTTGGATGCCAGGTGTGAACCATCTTCCTGGCGTCTCTAGGCTGGTTTTAAGGATACCATCTGTACCCTGGGAAAACATTTTTCCTTTATTACTCTTCTTGTAACCAGCCCTTGTGTGTACCTCCTATGTAGCAGACTCTGCTCTAAGGGCTTTTAAAATATTATCTCAGTGGACTGTTATCTAATTACAGGTGGAGGTAAGCAATCTGGAAGCTTCCTCCCTCCCTCTGTCCCCCTTAGGCAGGAGTGACCAATATTACAGGCTATTAGGTTTTATCTGGGTTGGTATTTGAGCGTTGACGTACATAAAAGCATGTCCATGGAAACAGACTTTTCTTTTGACTACGCCTGTTTTATTCTTTTACCTAAATGTGTCATGCTTGACTTCTTTTTTTTTTTTTTTTAATTGAGATACACAAAAGAGCACATAATGCTAAGTTATTTAGGTTGATGAACTGTCACCAACCCAGCCAACCCAAGTGACTTCCACGCAAATCAAGAAACAGAACACTTTCATTCTTCATAAGTCCCCAGTTGCCTTTCCCAGCACCATCTGCCACAAGTTACCAGAAGCCTGATGTCTAACCGGAGAGTCTTGTCTGTTTTGAGCTGTAGATGTCTGCTCTCATGTATTGTACCTGCTTTCTTTCATTTAGCACACTGTCTTTACAGTTCTTCCATGTTATTTTCTCTGATTCTAATTTCTTCCTTTAATTGCTGTCTGTAGTCTTTCATTGTGTGACAATGGTCAGTTTTCTTGTGATGGACAGTGGAGTTGCTCCTTTGGGGCTGATYATTTGTTTGTTTGTTTTGTGTCCTAGAAATTGAACCCAGGGGTGCTTTACCACTAAGCTACATCCCCAGCCCTTTTTATTTGTTTATTTATTTCTGTGACAGGGCTTTGCTAAATTGCTGAGGCTGACCTCAAACTTGTAATCCTCCTGCCTCAGCCTCCAGAGTCACTGGGATTACAGACATATGTCTCTGGTGCCTGGCTTCCTTAGGGCTCTTATGAATAAAGACGCTGTGACTATTTTGTTTAGTTCTTTGGTGCTGGAGATCAACCCAGGGCCTTACACATACTAATTGGGGTACTCTACCGCTGAGCTACATCCCTAGCCCTCCTGTGAATATTTGAGCACTTGGCTTTGATGAATATAAAGTGTAAAATTTTGTAGGGTTGTGTTCAGGGAAGGAATAAATGGGTCATAGTATGATTCTGCCAAACCTAGTATGTTGTTCAATCTGGGGATTGAACCTAGGGGCACTTAACCACTGAGCCGCATCCCCAGCCCTTTTAAAAATATTTTTATTTAGAGACAGGGTCTCACTGAGTTGCTTAGGACCTCCCTAAATTTCTGAGGCTGACTTTGAACTTGTGATCCTCCTGCCTGAGCCTCCTGAGCGCTGGGATKACAGGTGTGTGCCACGACGTCCAGCTTGGGCTACATTTTCGTTCCTTTCTTTTTCTCAGTAAAGTAAGTCACCATGGGATTTTTTTTTTTTTTTTTCCATGCCGGTCCGTTTAGACAGGCGCGGGCCCCTTGGCTTTAGTTTTTCCATCACATGTTATACCCAGGTTTTCGATTCTCTCTTTTCCTGCCTCTTTCTCCTCCTCTCTCCCCCTCCTCAGGCAGGGCTGGTCCGGAGCCCATCTCCTGCAGCGCCCGCTCCTGGCCGAGCCCAGCCTGCAGCGCTGGAGTGTCGCCAGGCCCTGGGGACCTGGATAAACCACAGGGAGGGAGATYGGAAAAGGTCCCGGCGCTTGTACATAAACACTTGGCCTTCGGGCCCCTGGGGATGGCTATCACCAGCAATAACAGGCGGTGACCAGAGGGGAAAAGGCTTCTGAATCACTCGGCGCCGAGGCAGAGAAGTGATCCATTTGATAACKCGGAAATTAGTTTTTCTTTAACGAGGACATCATGGGACAAATATCAGATGACAGAAGGGGAAGAGTATTTACAATGATAAAAATCAGTGAGAAGGGCTGGGGCTCAGTGGTTAGCGCACTTGCCTGGCATGGGCGAGGCCCTGGGTTCAGTCCTCAGCAACACATAAATAAATAAATAGATAAATAAATAAAGTTAATAATAATAATAATAATAATAAAGACAACACAGAGTCATCCCATAGGTCTGGCCGAAATTGAAAGTTGGAAAATGCCAAGCAGAGGCTGGGGAGGTGAGGACCCAGATCCTCACGTGCTGACAGTGGACAGCCATTCCCCAGGGCCACCCAGCACTGCTCAGGCAAGTCCTGGGTTGGATATGTCACCTGGATATGTCACCTCTTAAGGGCACATATCAAACATTCTCCCTCAGCTCCATAAGGGGTCATGACAGTGCTATTTTCCTGGAGCTAGGGGCAGCCTGGGTGTCCATTCCCAGAACAATGGGTGGATAAACGGAAGAGATTGGTCCCAGGAAGTCCTCAAAGCTACCGCATCCATCGGCCARGTGTCCACAGAACAACATGGGGACCTCCTAAGGTACCAAGTGATAACCGCCAGAAACAAGAAACACTATTAATGTCTTCTGATACAGTTCGCAATGACACAGAGTAATTTTACATTCAATATGAAATTTTAAGGAAAACAGTATTTAACACATGATTTTGTATTATATCAAAATTATTTTGTACTATATAATCATATCAGCCTAGATATGCAATTATACAATGCATAATTGAATTACATAATTCAATACTATGGTACAAACTTATGTGCTGTTTAATACAATTGTATGAACATCAATGTTTAACTTTGCAACATCTAGCAATCTATTATGCATTGAATGACACTTTATGTATAATTTTGTTGAACGGTAGGATATTGTTTTATGTAACTTAGTATATACCACTACATGTTGATAATAATTTTGACAGATCAGTTAGCATGTATGAGGAATCTTCCTCGTGACCCCAGGAAGTAGGGACTCTTCCAAATTAACCCGGTTKTCAGATGAGTAAACTGAGGCCTGAGTTACATAGTTGCCTGCCTAGCAGGGAGGTCCCAGTGTGTGTGGTACCTACCCTAGGTCCCCAGGCCCCACAGCTGTAGGAAACTGCCATGTTCCTCCTGCTTGAGCTCCCTAGAGCACAGGGGAGGTGGGGGGAGGGCTGGCCAGGAGCTGGAAGGAACTGATCCTAGGGCGCTGTATTCCCAACTTACAAAGCACAGAGTGCTCATCTTTATAAAGGGTTGGCAGAGAGACCTCTTAGAACTCCGGAGGTCTTTCTGGTCTAGCCATAGGCGAGTGTGTTTCTGTTGTAATTAGGAGATTTAATGCAAATATCAAGGCAGTAAGGTTCTTAAGTGGTTAAAAACCCTAGCTCTTGGTTCAAATCCTGAGTTCTGCCTCTGTGTGACCTTAGGCAAGGCAAGTCACTGTGACTGTCTGTGTTTAGCTTTTCTCACCTGTAAATGGGCACTGTGAGAGTACTGACCTCCTGGGACTGTTGTTGGGGACTGCATGACTCATCTGATGTTCAGTACTTAAACTATACATGGTAGAAATCACATATTGTTTATTTTCCCCTCCAAACAATGTGAATAATAGCAGAATTATTGTGAGAACTAAGTGAGATATATTAAAAAGATCTTGTTGCAGATCTTAGGAGCTGAAATGCCACAGGTGCACAGTTTTTAATAATGACATAGTTAACTGCAACTTTCACATAACATTAACTACGCACTAGCTATGTTTTAAGTGCAGCAAAAAAATTATCTCATTTAACCTTCCCAGCAACACCCTGATGTAAGTACTATTAACCATTATCCCCCTTAGCAGATGGGGGAAGGGCCCAGAGAAGCTAAGTAACTTGTCCAATGTAACCCAAGAGAATGGCAAGGCTGGTGGTGTTCAGACCSAGTGTTTGGCTCAGAATCTTTGCTCTTCATCACTATATGTGATGTTTTGATTTTGATAATGGGATTCTGGGTACAGGAGGTCGAACCCAGGACCTCACGTACTGAGCTACATCCCCAACCCATTTATTTTTTATTTTTTAAATTTTAGGTCAAAGTCTCTCTAAATTGCCGAGGCTCGCCTTGAACTTGTTATCCTGCCTCAGCCTCCTGAGTCGCTGAGATTACAGACGTGCGCCACCTCACCCGGCCTCTTTGGTGCTTTTTAAAGTCCAGAGACGTGGCGGGCATTTAGCTCTGCTGTGTGACATCCAGGTTGCTCTCTGTGAAATGGCAGAACGAGGTCACCTGCCTTCCTTACGGTGGGTGGCGGTGAGGAACGCAGCTACCTTCTAGACACCCCGCCCCAGCGCGCACACCTCRAGCCACTGTCGAGGTCTAGGGGCGGAGCTCCAGTGGAGGGGCGGGGCCTTGAGTTCGTGGTCCAATGAGGGA